TCAAATTGAAGATCTTGAGGGACACAGCGGCTCTACAATCGATCATCTTGAAGTCGGCTGTGCCCAACATCACCTGCACGGAGAGAAACGTCTTCATCACTGACCTCACTGCTACCACTCCATACCCTCTCGCCAGAGTCCACCTGGATTGTCCCTACGTGAACGGGGAAGTCCAAGTCGCCGTCAGGAGGAAAAGCCTTTTCCCATGCCTGGAGTGCAACTTCTCCTAGGCAACGACTTGGCAGAAGACCTGCAACCGACCAACCTCATCGTCATGGACAAACCCCAGGTGTGTAACTCTGTGCCAAGTAACCCTATTTTAGAGTATGTTCCAGCAGAGGTTCAAGAGAGGATGAAGTTTTCTCCTCCGGTTCTCGTGACCACCCGTGCACAAGCCGCACGTCCACAGCCAGCTGACTCTACTGCTACCCGCTGTCCCTCAAGACCCTCAGAAACCCCCCCGCATCTGACCAAGTTGGAGTTCCGTAAGTTGCAGAGGAAGATCTTACTTTAACACCATTGTTTTTCCAGGCTGAGACTCAACCGACAGTATTCCTGGGTTCTTCCTAGAGAACGACTTGCTCTACCGCAGATATAGACCCAGTAAACTGAAGGAGGAGGACGATTGGGCCAACATCGAACAACTTGTGATTCCCACCAGCCTGCGGCCCACTATTCTACACCTGGCCCACAGAGCGCTCTCCCACTACGGCTTCAACAAGACTTACCATGGAATTCGTCAAGACTACTACTGGCCAGGTATGGTAAATAACGTCAAACAGTACGTAAAACAGTGTCATACATGTCAGATGCAGGCAAACCGAACATCTCCATTCCCAGAGCGCCACTGATTCCCATACAGGTGCCTGCGGAACCTTTCCACAGACTCATATAGACTGTGTTGGTCCTTTACCTCGGACCAGTTCAGGTAACGCCTACATCCTAACCACCTGTGTCCTACCACCAGATTTCCCATAGCAGTTCAGTGAAGAACATCACGGCTGCTACGGTTATAAAACATCTATTGAGATCTTCACTCAATACGGATTTCCCAGGGAGATTCAAAGCGACTGTGGTACCAACTTCACCAGTGATCTCTTCAAAAGGACACTGGAGGAGTTCACATCAAACAGGTATTGTCCAGCCCCTATCATCCTGCTTCACAGGGTTCTCTTGAACGTAGTCATCAGACCATCAAAGCACTCTTGGAAAAGTTTGTAGTGAAACCTCGAAGGATTGGGATAAGCAGATTGACCTTATAATGTGTATTTTCAGAAGTCTCCCCAATGAGTCCCTAGGAGTATCTCCTTATGAGATGCTCTACGGCCGTAAGTGCCGTACTCCCCTTAAGGCTTTCAAAGACTCTCTCAGAGATGCCACCTTCAGTGAGCATCAGAATGTGCCCCAGTTTCTTCAAAACCTTCAACACATTCTAGAGAGAGTCCACCGTTTTGCCCATGATAATCTATTGAAAGCCCAGGAGAGAATGAAGACTCATTACGACCAGACCAGCAAAGTAAAAAATTCAAGCCGGGAGACTTCGTCCTTGCCTATTCCCTATCCCAGGTTCACCTTTACAAAACAGGTTTTCAGGACCCTACTGCGTCAAAGAGTGCAGGAATAATAACAACTACGTAATAGAGACTCCAGATAGGCGGCGGAAGACCCAGCTGTGCCACGTCAACCTCCTGAAGCAATATAATGGTACTTCTCCCACTGTCCTAATTAACTATTAATCACCTTCACAGAACCCTACATCCACAGTGAGACCTTCCCAGCTTCTCCTCCCGAAAGCACTGACAAGGAGTCAGCGCTTTCTAATTCCGAAATCCTTAATGATCTTCCCAAATGCTTTCAGGATAATAATCGTGCTCCTTTGCCCTATTCTAATTCCACTCTCACCTCGTCAGATAAGCCCTTCATCCTCCATGTCGACGCCAGTGGTACCGACGTTGGTGGTGTCGCGATGCAGCAACGAGGCGAGGAGAATACACCTGTCAGCGACTACTGCTAGAAGGAACTACGGAACAATTGGCAAGGAGCTACTCTTCATCATCCTGAAGCTCCAGCACTTCACTCCACACCTGAAAAGTGCTCAGTCCACCATCAACACGGACCATACCACCCTACACCTCCTGCAGCACGCCCACTTCTCATCTCAACGTCTTCTACTATGGGCTTGCTAACTGCAGAAAATCCACCTGGAGACACGCTATACCAAGATTCCGACAACATCTTAGCCCATGATCTCTTCAGAGTTTATGAAGTAGAAGCGACTCCATCTATTACTCCACCACATAACGACGTACTTCTTCCAGAACCGCAGGCTTTGGGGGAGAGTTGTGACGATAATCTCCTTCAAGAGATTGAGCCTGCTCTTCCCTCCACAATTACGTCGTTATATATATATAAAACTACTATGGAAGAAATGTCCAACAACGACAACAACACCAGCAAGGTTTGCCAGAGTGCAAAACGTATGCAGCCAGGGACACCTGCTCAGACTCAAACTGCCAAACTACCTGTCTTACTGCCGGCTCCTCGCCTGATTGGTCGCCGGTCTGGCTGCAACTGCACTCATCCCCACATACTACTTGATGTCTGGGGCCGCCACGACCTCAGTCCTCAGAATATTCCGTGCTTTCACACAGTTAACACTTCTCCCTGCTAGACGTAAGCTTTGGCGTACGTGTACTGAGAGAGGTGATAGCTTAAAGCCAATATTCCAGCACCTCTCATTTTTTGTATATTGCACTTCTTGTTATTTTGCTCACTTGTCTTAACGTAACTTTTCATTGTGTCATTTAATTATTCTTATTATTTTGATTGATTGATTTTATTATACGAATTTGTTTGTCCATTTTATTCATATTTTGTTTATTTAACGTAATTAAAATTTCATTGTTAAAGTTTACTTGTGTTTTGTGTGTCTTCTCCTTACCTTACCACAGACGAAGTTCCAGATTTTCTATTTTTTTTTAATACTATGTGACGAGGCCATACCCCTAGCTTTGAACAGCCGAACACCAACGCGTTACCGTCACAATATATATATATATATTTATATATATGTATGTATGTATGACAGCTACACCAGAGAAAATATTGCCAAATTTAAATAGATATGAGAATAATACTCACTCTGGGTAGGTCCCTGGTGCTAACCGGTTTGCTCTATATATACCTAACATAGCTGGCCAGGAATGTCAAGATAATAAACGGGTATGGGTAATACACTTCCCTTATAGTAGACGTAGTTGGAGTTGATATTAACAGGAACACTATTAGTCCCGTAACTTCGTTGTCTAAGGGAATATATTGGCGCTGTACTCGCTCTAGTGATCTTGTTGATGTACAATGGCTGACTCCTGCAGCCCTCCCTCCCTCCCTCCCACTGACGCCTCCCTGTTGTCCAGATGCGTCAAGTATTAGTTAGAGAGTGCCTCCATTTACTTTGTTTTGGTACTGATAATTAAGGAAATTCAAGTGAAATGTTTTTATGATGTTAAAAGTCCAAAGATTGTTGTATTAAGAATAATTCCCAGCTGAATAGCGGGTGAATTTAATAGTGACATGTGGCAATGATATCTCGTTTTCTACGGGAGGAAAATTCTACTGTGCCATGTTTTCTATGAGTGAATTTATTTATACATTCCAGCAACAATATGATCTGCCTATTGTATTTAATATTAGTAAATGGTGTCGGGTTTTCCGACAAAAGAAGCAAAATTATATTTATGTACATTAATTACACATCACTACTCATGTATCACAATATTCCTTAGGTAAGTTGAGGGTTTGCTCTAAAACAATTTGTTGAGTATTTGGATGAAATTAGTTTATTTTTGGCAATTTTAAACAATAAAAATATTCAAGAATTAGATTACGTTGTATGGGTCTGTGTATTATTGTCTAATATACATTTCTCCTCACATTTAAATGACAAAAACACTAAATTACAACTATTTTACACAACAGTTGATATAATGTTTGATAAAATTACAATCTTTTAAATAAACCCGAAAATTTACAAACATGTTGACATGCCACAATTAAATATTTTCCAGTGCTATAAAACAGACAATGAACCTTTAAAATTAAAAAAAATCTGATCTTGCAAAGGAAGTTTTCAACCAGCACTGTACCTGGATTGTACCTGGGTTGGGTTCTGGGAGTTCTTCTAATCCCCCAAGCCCGGCCCGGGACCAGGCTTGACACTCACTCAATTAATGAACAACTTTCATTTAAAATTTACAATGTTCAGGTCACTTGGAGAAACTGCCAAGTATATAAAGTGTGCAGAGAGTGTAACAGTAGTCAAGCTGACTAATATACAAAACAACTAAATTTTGAGTTAAATATCTACCTGCAATAAGATCTGAACTAGAAAATAGATCAGTTAGTAACTGGATTAACGAAAAAATTGTCAAAAACTGTTCTGAAATAATGGAATTATAATCTCACAATGGCGGAATTAACGGTATTTGCATCGAATCCTTCACACGAGTCGAGTCGTGGTTTTCAGTGATGAACTTTTCAAGTCTAATTACAGGAGTAATTACTGGTGAAACGTTTAGTGATTGCACAGCGCCAACCTCCAGATACAGGCCTGGTGCGTCATCACTGGTGATGCATCAAAAGACTCAAGAAAATAAGTTTTATTACTAAAAAAATCAATAATTTTGTTTATGGTCATAAGAGATAACTTTTGGAAGATAATTGCATATTTGTGGACACATTCACTAAGGTTCGATCCCTTATTCTCTAAGGCTGCCTAATTTCAATCCCAAGACCCCTCTTATATCTTCCTCTGGCCTAAATTCCTTGGATTCTACAGTTCTACCTTCATGCCAGTATTATAGGCCTTTCACTGGCTGCCGCTTTTCTTCCTTTCTAATCCCTTTCTTCCTCTCAACGTTAAGATGCTCCATCTCTATTCTCAAGCCTCTTGCATTTTAATTCTACACTCCAATTGCAAGTCCAACTTGTTCAACCGGGGACTAAACTAAGTCACTCCTCATCTGCTGGTGCCCGTTGCTTCCTGACAGGTCCCCATTGCTCCTTGATGGACCCTTGTTGCTCCCTGATGGACACCCGTTGCTCCCTGACAGGCCCCCGTTGCTCCCTGACAGGCCCCCGTTGTTCCCTGACAGGCCCCCGTTGTTCCCTGACAGGCCCCCGTTGTTCCCTGACAGGCCCCCGTTGTTCCCTGACAGGCCCCCGTTGTTCCCTGACAGGCCCCCGTTGTTCCCTGACAGGCCCCCGTTGTTCCCTGACAGGCCCCCGTTGCTCCCTGACAGGCCCCCATTGTTCCCTGACAGGCCCCCGTTGCTCCCTGACAGGCCCCCGTTGTTCCCTGACAGGCCCCCGTTGTTCCCTGACAGGCCCCCGTTGTTCCCTGACAGGCCCCCGTTGTTCCCTGACAGGCCCCCGTTGTTCCCTGACAGGCCCCCGCTGTTCCCTGACAGGCCCCAGTTGTTCCCTGACAGGCCCCCGTTGATCCCTGACAGGCCCCCGTTGCTCCCTGACAGGCCCCCGTTGCTCCCTGACAGGCCCCTGTTGTTCCCTGACAGGCCCCCGTTGCTCCCTGACAGGCCCTCGTTGCTCCCTGACAGGCCCCCGTTGCTCCCTGACAGGCCCCCGTTGCTCCCTGACAGGCTCTCGTTGCTCCCTGACAGGCCCCCGTTGCTCCCTGACAGGCCCCCGTTGCACACTGACAGGCCCCCGTTGCGCCCTGACAGGCCCCCATTGCTCCCTGACAGGCCCCCGTTGCTCCCTGACAGGCTCCTGTTGCTCCCTGACAGGCCCCCGTTGCTCCCTGACAGGCCCCCGTTGCTCCCTGACAGGCTCCTGTTGCTCCCTGACAGGCCCCTGTTGCTCCCTGACAGGCCCCCATTGTTCCCTGACAGGCCCCCGTTGCTCCCTGACAGGCCCCCGTTGTTCCCTGACATGCCCCCGTTGCTCCCTGACAGGCCCCCGTTGTTCCCTGACAGGCCCCCGTTGTTCCCTGACAGGCCCTTGTTGTTCCCTGACAGGCCCCCGTTGCTCCCTGACAGGCCCCCGTTGCTCCCTGACAGGCCCCCGTTGCTCCCTGACAGGCCCCCGTTGCTCCCTGACAGGCTCTCGTTGCTCCCTGACAGGCCCCCGTTGCTCCCTGACAGGCCCCCGTTGCACACTGACAGGCCCCCGTTGCGCCCTGACAGGCCCCCCTTGCTCCCTGACAGGCCCCCGTTGCTCCCTGACAGGTTCCCGTTGCTCCCTGACAGGCCCCCGTTGCTCCCTGACAGGCCCCCGTTGCTCCCTGACAGGCTCCTGTTGCTGCCTGACAGGCCCCCGTTGCTCCCTGACAGGCCCCCATTGTTCCCTGACAGGCCCCTGTTGCTCCCTGACAGGCCCCCGTTGTTCCCTGACAGGCCCCCGTTGTTCCCTGACAGGCCCTTGTTGTTCCCTGACAGGCCCCCGTTGCTCCCTGACAGGCCCCCGTTGCTCCCTGACAGGCCCTCGTTGCTCCCTGGCAGGCCCCCGTTGCTCCCTGACAGGCTCTCGTTGCTCCCTGACAGGCCCCCGTTGCTCCCTGACAGGCCCCCGTTGCACACTGACATGCCCCCGTTGCTCCCTGACAGGCCCCCGTTGCTCCCTGACAGGCCCCCGTTGCTCCCTGACAGGCTCCCGTTGCTCCCTGACAGGCCCCCGTTGCTCCCTGACAGGCTCCCGTTGCTCCCTGACAGGCCCCCGTTGCTCCCTGACAGGCCCCCGTTGCTCCCTGACAGGCCCCCGTTGACTGATACCAAGGATCGCGACTCCTACCTGGCACTCTCACCTGTTGCTGCACCTCCAGGAGCGGTAATCACCTCTGATCTCCTCAACTGTTATCCCTATCTGGGACGTGTCCCCCTCCTCTAAGGCAGCGTTAATCATATGGTGACCTGACACACTTCTCGTCCCTCTAGATACTGTAACCTCCAAGGTGCTCGCCAACTAACCTCCAAGGTGCTCGCCAACTAACCTCCAAGGTGCTCGCCAACTAACCTCCAAGGTCCTCGCCAATTAACCTCCAAGGTGCTCGCCAATTAACCTCCAAGGTGCTTGCCAATTAACCTCCAGTTGAGCGAACAGCAACAGAGAACTATGTAAAAACAAAGGCAAAGAAGAACACGGTAGACTAAGAAGGATCAGTATCAGGATCAGGGTTACGGGGCATAGGTAAATCTAGCAAGGACGATGGAGTTAAGGGAACAGCAGTAAGACGGACCAGAGACAGACTGACAGAGTCCGGTGTGGGAGGAGGCACCGGAGATGGGCTGTCAAGGGAATCAAGGGGAGGGGGACAGAAACAGGGAGCACACCTCAACCAGGGCAGCATCCGAAAGATAATCGAGGACTAAGGGAACCTCCATAGCTGGGACAGGGGACTCTGCCACTGAAATGGGAGGGGATACAAGAATAGACTCCGGGTTGAAAGGAGAGGAAGAGAACGATGCTTTCTTACCCGCCAGGGAGGAAGAAGGAGAGGAGCCAGGCTTATGTTTCGGATGTAGAGAGACAGATGTACCAGCAGCAATGTACTGGGCGACAGTCTCGACAATCTCAACAGGAGAAGGAGAACAGGAACGGGTAACTTGAAGATGGCTAGGAGGAGGAAGGACAACGGCCAGGATGGACAGGAGGTGTGGAGGCCCAAAAGACAGAAGGGAGAGTTGAGAAGGACTGGGGCGAGAAGGGAAAGAGGGCCCAGGAGACAGGGAAGACTGGGATGGAAGGAAGGAAACACCAGACACAGATCCAGGAGGAAGACACTCTGGTGCAGAATGCAAAGCAGCAGGTGAAGAGGTGGTGGTGGAGGTGTCCAGATCCAAGGTCTGGAAACTGTTGCAAAACTGAGAAAGTGGGAGAGGTCTCCCTAATACAGGCCAATGAATCCAAGCGGTCAATGCCGCTTCCTGAGAAGGGGCCGCAACGACCGGTGCACCAGTACAAGTGGGGTTAAAAGTGACAACAGTATCCACCAAATCAACTAGGTGTTTATGAATGAATAAATCTTCAGGACGTGTAGAATCAACATGACAGATCAAAATACTTACTCCATGTAACAGGACCCAACAAAGCTTTGAATGTAGTAGAACTGGAAGGAATCGTGCACATGCGAGTGTGGAAGTGACAGCGCCGAGTACCCCTAGGGGGGTAAACGTTTTACCCCCCCCCCAGTAGGAGGGGGGCGGGGGTAAAAGGCGCAGTTGTTAAAATGGGAGGTGGAGTCACTCCAGATGATGAGGTGGTCGCCACTGGGGGTTTTGGGCTCCACCCTGCCACAGAGGTGGGAGGGAAGCAGAGAGTCAGAGAAGCAGCTCGGTCTGGGCCCAATGTAAGGGGTAACGGACCCCGGCCTTCCAACAAAGTCAAACTCGGGGGCTTGGTCGCCCACCCCATGCATCTGGGAAGTGAAAAAAGTCAATCATCGGCATAATAACAAACAGGTAATAATTTCATTCACGAATAACCCCCCTTACCCCAGCATGGAGCCACAATTAGAAGATAAGACACCTGACAAGACAGGGCCCCCTAGGGGGGGTGCATCGTGGGTATACGCCCCACAATCGCCACTTTAAGAACCGTCAGTCCGTCAAGATCGGGTTCAGCAACAAAGGCAAAGATTAACAATAAAAGCTTCTCATCGCTCGACACCGTCGGGTACCACAGTTCTACGGGTGAGTGAGTGTGCCTTCCCAAACACCTGGGCATCAAAACAGAAGAAAACATCTGAAAGACTAATCAAGAATGGAAAAAATTCAGTGGAGAATAACAATCAGAAAGGAGAAGAGGGGAATTGAAGGAAAAATGAAGTATAAGGAAGAGGGA